TAGCTTTGCGGGCCACATGAAACTACTTTGCGGGCCGCATCCGGCCCCCGGGCCTTGTGTTTGACATGTCTGCTCAAAGAATTCACCAACAGTTAAGGTTTTTTTTTTTCCCCAGTCTTGTTCCACTTCAGACTTCTTGTTTGAACGTAATAGACTGGAAATGGCATCTAGACCTCTATTCTCAACCCAATTTGAGCATGTGTTAAGACATATTTGACACAAGGGTCTCAAGTCCCCAATTCTGCATTCCTAAATAGAGTGAAGATACAAGCCTACAATCAGCAATTCCGGGGTATATAGTGGTTGGGAACTCACCTAAGGGACTCTTATCCTCTGCCTACAGTCTGTTGGCTTTTCACAAGGTCACAAATTCTTCTGAAAACCTTCAAAACGAGATGCTGGTGATGTTTCTACTCCATCCCTAAATTGGGATTGTCTCTTAACTCTTTTTCTTTCCATGGGAAGAGAAAATGAATGAAATATACTCTTCAAAAAGACTTATCAAGAAAAAAAAAATCCCGAGGTGGTATGTAATTTATAATTCCCGCTTGATGGACACCAATAGAGTAGACACTGTGAAGTTAGATTAGAAATGGAATCCATCCTGGATGGTCCAAGCCAGGGGTCGGCAACCTTGGCTCTTTTATGACTCATGGACTTCAACTCCCAGAATTCCTGAGCCAGCATGGGGGAAACTTTGGCCCCTTCATGACTCATGGACTTCAACTCCCAGAATTCCTGAGCCAGCATGGCTCAGCTTGGAAACTCTCCCTTTCCCCTCAGCGTGGCTGGCTCAGGAATTCTGGGAGTTGAAGTCCACGAGTCAAAAAGAGCCAAGGTTGCCTACCCCTGGTCAAAGCAGTGGTGGGACTGAGCTGGTTCGCACCACTTCGGCAGAACCGGTAGCTAATTTTTTGTTGCTCAGGCCCAGAATGGATTTCCGGAAGCGGCATCCACACAGAGAACCTGTTGTTCCCGTATTTGAATCCCACCAGTGGGTCACAGCAATGTGTGGCCCAGCTGAGAAACCCCAGAATAATCTGGAAGCAACTCACACATCTGAAAGCAACCAAGCCAGGAAAAGCTGGGATTCAACTAAGAGTTTATAACAATCTTTTCAATTCCTCTTCTGGGTCTACAAGTTCACTAGGAGACACCCCAAAATGATATACTCAATAGCGAGCACTGGTGAGAAGCCCTTCTACATCTTCCTGAAGTCATTTGGAAGATTGAACGTGCGACCTTCATATTTAATGCCTATGTCAAGGTTCCAACTGATGAACCCAATGAAGTAAGCATAGCTGAGGCCATGCAATCTCTAATGCAAAACTTTATTGAGCACATCATTTCGGCACAGAGGAAAGGAAAACCAGCTCTGGTTAACTGGCGCCAAAATCAGTATATTCAAGTATAGAGCAGTGATGGCGAACCTTTTAGACACCGAGTGCCCAAAAACCGCCCCTCCCACCCCCGCTCCGCCCTGCCCTGACCGCTCCACCCCTGCCCTGCCCCCACCTACCTTGCCCTGCCATGCCCGCTACGCCCGCCCCTGCTCCCCCACCGCCCCACTTGCCCACAGGGCGACCTACCGCCTCCATGGCCTACCGCAGATCGCCCAGCCAGCCCTGCAGCGCCCTGGTGGCCATGCCCTCTGCCCACGCCTTGCAGCATCATCTGCGCACGATGGGGTGCAAAGGCGGAGTATTGTCCCTGCTGCCCAGCTGCCATGCGCTGTTCCATGCGGGCCACGCCCAGAGGCAACTCTGCTCCAGAGGGGCTGCTGGTGAGGAGGGGGCCACGGGGGTAGGCAGGGCAGGGGCGACAGCACGCGTGCCCACAGAGAGGGCTCTGCATGCCGCCTCTGGCACACGTGCCATAGGTTCGGCACCACTGGTATAGAGTCTCCCTTTAGTGCAGGTCACATTGTCCAATGAAGCATCCGACAAGTTATTATGAGAGAGTGTTTCAGTTCTTAGTAAACAACATTTGAGCGACTTTAGTGCTCACAGCTTGGCAGTCCGATGTCTGAAGCCTGCATTCCATTCTTCCCTCCCCTCTCTCCACCGCCACCACCCCCCCCCCCCGAATTTTTAGGCAAGTTAAGAAGCAGTAATGGATGCCACAGCATAGTTATTCTTTGCAGCTTGACAGCATAATTGACAAGCATCCAGCAACGGTCAACTCGGGCAAACAGGTAAGGTTCACCGGCTCATCTTCCTTTTTGGCATGGCACCAGATACTCAAGCTTGTTTTACCTGTGCCAAAATCTGACTCACTTCCCCTTAAACAGCAATCATCAGATCACCTGTGCAGCGTTATTTAGCTTTTTGTAGCCCTATATTTTTTTTAATCGTAAGGTTCATTTTAATGCAAAGAAGACGCTACCTCCTATGCCATCTTCACCTGTGGATTTTTAAAATTGTAAATATTTTACGGATATGCCGGGGAGAACAGGTGTCCTCTGGATTGCTATGACTTCAACTCCCACAATCCCCAGCCACCTCTCTTTTTTTTTTCCTCAGCAGAGACCACAAACTATTCATCCAATCGCGGCCTCTGAATTACAATATCTCAAATCTCTATCGTGAGACATTAAACAGCAATTTTCTTACAAGAGGTCCATGGCTTATTTTAGACAGTTTTAGAATTTAGAATAGAATAGAGAACAGAATAAACAGAGAATAGAATAGAATAGAATAGAATAGAATAGAATGGAATGGAATGGAATGGAATGGAATGGAATGGAATGGAATGGAATGGAATGGAATGGAATGGAATAGAATAGAATAGGACTAGATTAGACTAGACTAGAGCTGGAAGGGACCTTGGAGGTCTTCTAGTCCAACCCCCTGTTCAAGCAGGAGAACCTATACCATTTCAGAAAAATGGTTGTCCAGATTCTTCTTAAAAACCTCCAGTGTTGGAGCATTCACCACTTCTGGAGACAGGTTGTTGCACTGGTTAATTGTTCTAACTGTCAGGAAGTTTCTCCTTAGTTCTAGGTTGCTTCTCTCCTTGATTAGTTTCCATCCACTGCTTCTTGTCCTGCCTTCCGGCGCATTGGAGAATCACTTGATTCCCTCTTCTGTGTAGCAATCCCAGTTTATTCCAGGCCACAGGTGTGCGACTAATGAAGCTCTGACATCACTGTAGTGGTTGGTGCCAAAATGTACAGCCCATTTCTCGGGGGTACAAAGATTTCACTTTGCCCATTTAAATATCCCAGATGGGAGTAACAATCATCAGAAAATGGTGGTGAAGGGGTGAATGGTTATCTTAAGCCATTACATTTCCCCCCCCCAAAAAAAAGTAACAGAAGGTTGAAAAAGCTGATCCTCCACTTGAAAAAATTGTCTACCTTATAACTCAGGGTTGAACTGTGGAGTTCTTGGTGCTCTCGGAGATCGTTTGCTTGCAAACGTTTTACGACCCAACTAGGTAACATCATCAATGTGAGAGTGTGGGGTTGATCCTTCCCACTTCAGGAATAATCTAGAACAGTGTTTTTTTTCAAAATTGGCAACTTATCCCATGCAAGCTGGGGAATTCTGGCAGCTGAAATTCACACATTGTAAGAGTTTGCCAAGGTTGAAAAAAAGACTGTTAAGATAACCTTTATTGCCATTTTTATACTGTGGGCACAATGGCACACATCAAAAATGAAATTTAGCTGCCCGCTCTCAAAGTGAAACACATACATGACACACACCTAAACATACTATGAACAACATAGTAATTCCAATAGCCTTTCAAATTCTGCAATCCTAGGACGGCATATTCGAAATTTGAATTGGTGCGCAGGTGGCTGGAGAATCCTGGAAGCTGAAATCTACACTTCTTGAAGTTGGCAAGTTTGGAAGACATTGCTCTAGAACAGGAGTGTCAAATTGCCGGCCTGCGGGCCAGACAGACGCATCACGCAGAAGCCGTGCCCACCCCATTGCCGGCAATGCCAAAACAGTCCCGATACGTCGCGTGACATCACGAGTTTGACATGTCTGCTCCAGAAGCTACGTAAGAGGCTTGGAGAGACTCAAACGGTGGACAACTATTTCCACTGAAGCAGGTACAGCAAGTAAAGACCACACTTGTTAAAAATGATGGAACATCCCAGCTGGAGCAAGGATGTGCTCAGCTCACCTTGAATACTCAAGGCCACAATTAGTTACTGGAGGTAAAATTCACCCTCCTGGTCCTACAAATGGAATCTAATGGAATAAGGATGAAAATGTGGTATCTGAAACTTTCATCTGGAACAGTGGTTCTCAACCTTTTTAATGCCGTGACCCCCAACCGGTCGTAAGTCGAGGACTACTCAACCGGTCGTAAGTCGAGGACTACTCAATTAGTGCAGCATCGTTTGCAGAATGGGACTTTTGGCGGGCTCAGCAGGGCAGAGACAACCTGGACAATTCCTATTGGCTTTTGAAAGCCAATAGAATTAGACTCTATTCAAGAGAATCTATTCTATTAGCTTTCAAAAGCCAATAGAATAAAAGGGAGTAGCACAGCTAAGAAAAAGGGGGGGGAATGGCGGACTGCGTTGTTTGGCGACCCCCGTGAAATGGTTGTTCGACCCCAAATGGGGTCCCAACCCACAGATTGAGAACCACTGATGACAGCCTGGGACTTCAAAACAGGGAAGCGAGAGTCCACGTTTTGTTAGATTCTAACAAAACGTGGACTCTCGCTTCCCTGTTTTGAAGTCCCAGGCTGTCATCAGTGGTTCTCAACCTGTGGGTCGGGACCCCATTTGGGGTCAAATGACCATTTCACGGTGGTCGCCAAACCACGCTGTCCGCCATTTTTTTCCCTTTTCCCTAGCTGTCCTACTCCCTCTTATTGGTGGCCACACCCACTTGGGGGTCACCACAACATGGGGAACTGTATTATGGGGTCACGGCATTAGAAAGGTTGAGAACCATTGTGTTAGAATTTAATACAATAATGATTTATTAAGAATTCACCCTTCAAACAAAGCAACAAAGTTTACCCCTTACCTGGATCTGGTGGTGCGCAGGTACAGGAATACAGCGTAATATCGTTCACTTTGAAGTGGGAATTGATGGGGTAATAATCGGCTAGTTTGATCATCTTCTTGAAGGCATCGTAGATGAAGATGAAGCTAATCAGAGAGGAGAAGCCTTCTTCTGTGAACCGGGTGAAGTACTGAACTAAAAAGCTAGCATCGGTAGCAACCAAGATCAGACACAGGAAGGCTGACCACAAGCCAATCCAGAGACGGAACTCGAGATAATCAAAGTTGTTGTCTCTGCAAATGAAGAAGTCAAGTGAGATTGAAAAATAAGAAAATATAAGATGGGGAAATAGCATGTTGTTGTTGTTAGTTGCGAAGTCGTGTCTGACCCACCGCGACCCCATGGACAACGTTCCTCCAGGCTTTCCTGTCCTCTGCCATCTTCTGGAGTCCATTTAAGTTCACGCCTACTGCTTCAGTGACTCCATCCAGCCATCTCATTCTCTGTCGTCCCCTTCTTCTATTGCCCTCAATCTTTCCCAGCATTAGGCTCTTCTCCAGGGAGTCCTTCCTTCTCATTAGATGGCCAAAGTATTTGAGTTTCAACTTCAGGATCTGGCCTTCTAAAGAGCAGTCAGGTTGATCTCCTCTAGGACCGACTGGTTTGATCGCCTTGCAGTCCAGAGGACTCGCAGGCATCTTCTCCAGCACCAGAGTTCAAAGGCCTCCATTCTTTGGCCTTTAGCATACACCTATTTAAATGGTATACAGGTAGCCCTTGACATACAATCTTTCGTTTAGTGACCGAATTTACAATGGCACTGAAAAAAGTGACCTATGACCGTTTTTCACACGTCTGACTACTGCAACATCCCCTTGATTACGTGATCAAAATTTGGATATTGGCAACCGGCTCATATTTATGACGGTTGCTGAGTCGCCCGGGGCTATGTTGCGGCATCCCCATGCTTATGCGATCAAAATTCAGATGCTTGGCAACTGGCTCAAATTTATCCCAAAGGTGCTTTTTCAAGAGGCAACTGGACGTCCTTTGTTTTTCCTTGAAGACGTTTCCCTTCTCATTCAAGAAGCTTCTTCAGTTCTGACTGAAGAAGCTTCTTGGATGAGAAGGGAAACGTCTTCAAGGAAAAACAAAGACGTTTGCCTTTGGGACAAACCATGACCTGGATGACTGAGAATCTCCATAGACATTTGGCTCATATTTATGACGGTCGCAGTGTCCTGGGGTCATGTGATCCCCTTTTGAACAGGTCGGCACCCTGCGGCTCCAGAGCCCTGAAGCCAGTTTGCCAGGTGAGCAGAAGATCGGAGAGAGGGAGAGAAAGAGAGAGAAGAAGAGAGAGAGAAAAAGAGAGAGAAAGAGAGAGGGGGAGAGAGAGGGAGAAAAAGAGAAAGGGAGAGAGAGGGAGGAGGGGGGAGAGGAAGGAAAGAGAGAGAGAGTGATAGAGAGAGGGGGAGAGGGAGAGGAAAGAGAGAGAGGGAAGGAGAGAGAAAGAGAAAGAGAGAGGGAAAGGAGAGAGAGGGGGAGAGAGAAAGAGAGAGAGGAAGAGAGAGAAAAAGAGAGGGGGGAGGGAGAGGACAGAAAGAGAGAGAGGGAGAGAAAGAGAAAGGGAGAAAGAAGGAGAGGGGGAGAGGAAAGAGAGATGGGGGAGAGAGAGAGAGGAAAGAGAGAGAGAGAGAAAGAGAGAGAGAGAGAACTCACGCACAGCAGCCTCTATTTCTTTTTAATTAAACTCTTCAATCAAGCTCCCCACCCCTTGCGTGCACGCTCAAGTTTTGCGGCTCCCGATGTTTTCTTTTCTCCGGGAAAGGGGTCCAAGTGGCTCTTTGAGTGTTTAAGGTTGCTGACCCCTGGTCAATGGGGAAGCCAGATTCGCTTTACAACCAAGTTAATCGCTGCTAACAACTGTGACAAAAAAGGTCATAAAGTGGACTAAAACTCATTTAACAACTATCTTTCTCAGCAATGGACATGTGGGGCTCAATGTGGCTGTACGTTGAGGACTACTTGCATATTTATTTTCGGAACAACTGGTCAATTCCAGAATTGAAGTCCTTCAGGAGGGCTGACTGGGAACTGTGGGATAACATTTTTATCCTAGAATAGGTTGCTATACATTTTTCTGTCAGAAACCCCCCCCCCATGATATTACCAGCCCCTCTTCATTTCGGACTTACTTGCTAAAGTTAAATAAAAGTCGCTCAAAGACCAACACGGGCCCAGTGCTGCTCAGAATAGTAAGTGGCTGGCCAGCGAATAAACAGAAAACGGCTCCTGTAACGGCTGTGCCCAGAAAGCTTTCCAACACACCCTAGAAGCAAAACAAAAAAACAAGCAAATACATCCGTGTTATTAAATGCATTCAGACAGGAAGGCGTGCAGAGAGTGGTGAGGACAGCTGAAAAGATCATTGTCAGTTCCCTCCCTCCCATCCAGGACATAGCACAGAAGCGTTGCTTGAGCAGGATCCGCAAGATTATCTGGGACACCACACATCCTCTACACAACCTGTTTTCCTTGTTCCTTTCTGGGAGGAGGGGGCTCCGTGGTAGCCGTAGCAGAACATCCAGATTCAGCCATAGTTTCATTCCATACAGCATTAACCTTGTGAACTCTCAAGCTTCCTCCTTCCGTTATATATTCAAGATGGACAGTATTTAATATTTATTTGTTACGTACATGCAGGGGTGTGGATCTATACATATGTTGTATATAGTATGTTTTAGGTCTGTGTCATGTATGTGTTTCACTTTGAGAGCTGGTAACTAAATTTCATTTTGTGATGTGTGCCATTGTGCCTGGTCAAAAAAATGACAATAAAGGTTATCTTATCTTATCTTATCTTATCATCTTATCTTATCTTACCTTACCTTATCTTAAATATCCAGCTTTACACTTGCAATGGCAGGGGAAGGAAAATAAATAGACATGTTGAACTGGATAGGGAAGCTAAATTACTTCATTTAATTCACAGTCAGCAACATTCTTTTCAGCAGAAGTGATGGCTTTCGCAGGAGAGAATTACAGTTTGAAATCTCCAAATGTTTTCAAGTCCGTGGCTGATCCTTCTGATTAATGGTGGTTGTAATACGAAATGTCGCCTGAGCTCGCAAATATTTATCTGGGTTCCTTATAGGCCCCCACATTCACGTTCCTCCGGTAGCTTTTACACTCTCCAAGGGCCGTATCAAAAGAGGAAATTGCCTGCCTATAAAAATCCATCCCTCAATTGAAATCTTGATTGCAGGTAGTCCTGGACCACAATTCAGGCCCATATTTTTGTTGCTAAGTGAGACAGTTGTTCCATGAGTCTTGCCCCATTTTACAACTTTTCTTGTCGCAGTTTTTAAGTGAATCACTGCAGTTGTTAAGTTAGTAACACGGTTATTAAGTGAAACTGGCTTCCCCATTGACTTTGCTTGTCGGAAGCTTACAAAAGGGGATCACACGATCCCGGGACGCTGCAACCGTCATAAAGACGAGTCAGTTGCCAGGTGTCTGGATTTAGATCACGTGACCACGTAATGGATGCTGCCACATAAGTGTGAAAAATGGTCCTAAGTTTTTCAACGGTCACTAAATGAACTGTTGTAAATCGAGGACTGCCTGTCTATGCCTTTCTGCGTTTAGTGGACTGTTATGCTACAACAGGGGTAGGCAACCTTGGCTCTTTTATGACTCATGGACTTCAACTCCCAGAATTCCTGAGCCAGCACGGCTCAGCTTGGAAACCTCTCCCTTTCCCCTCAGCATGGCTGACTCAGGAATTCTGGGAGTTGAAGTCCACGAGTCATAAAAGAGCCAAGGTTGCCTATCCCTGTGCTAGAATCACAGAACTGGAAAGGATTTTAGAGATTATCTCGTCCTGCGTTTCTGAACTTGGCGATGCTCACAGGTCTGGACTTCAATTCCCAGAATGCTCTAGTCAGCATGCTAAGGTTGAGAAGCATTGACATAATACAAATAGCTGTTCTTGCAGGATTCACTAGAGGTTACTTGCTCAATGATGTTTGAAGGTCTCTATTGAAAAACTCCTTATCATTTTGCGTGACAGTCTTTTCCATGGGCTGGCAGCTTTTAGGAAATTCACCCTGATACCCAATTTTGAGCCTACTTCCCTTAGGAAATTACTCACCGGTCCCACCTCTCAAGCACAGTAGAATGAAGAATGCACAGGTCGTTTTCAACTTACAACTATTTTTTTTAGTGATCATTTGAAGTTACAACCATTGCACCATCCCCCTGGTCACGTGATCAAAACCCGGAGGCTTGGCAACTGATACTTAATAACAGTTGTGTTGTCCTGGGATCACGTGATCACTTTTTGCGACCCTCTGAATAGCAAAGTCAATGGGGAAGCCAGATTCACTTAAAAAACATGCTTCTAACTTAACTGCAGAGATTCATGTAGCAACAGTGGCAAGTTCATAAAAATGGGGCAATATTCACTTAGCAACTGTCTTGGTTAGCGACAGAAATTTCGCACTCAAGGGTGGTCGTAAGTCAAGGACTCCCTGTATTCTCCATAGTGACATCCAAATTTTGAGAATATGTTTGCCCGGTGAAATTTCACTTTTTTGTAAGAACCCAGCCAAAAAAAAACCCCTCTATCTCCTTAAACCAGTGGTTCTCAACCTTTTAAATGCCACGACCCCCAACCGGTCGTAAGTCGAGGACTACTCAACTGGTGCAGCACCGTTTGCAGAATGGGACTTTTGGCGGGCTCAGCAGGGCAGAGACAGCCTGGACAATTCCTATTGGCTTTTGAAAACCAATAGAATGAGACTCTATTCAAGAGAGTCTATTCTATTGGCTTTCAGAAGCCAATAGAATAAAAGGGAGTAGCACAGCTAAGGAAAAAGGGGGAAAAAATGGCGGACTGCGTTGTTTGGCGACCCCCGTGAAATGGTCGTTCGACCCCAAATGGGGTCCTGACCCACAGATTGAGAACCCCTGCCTTAAACCATGAATGGTACTTTAATTTCCTCTTGAAAGCTGCTCTTTTTATCATTTTCCCCCCACTATTTTTATCCTTGTGTTTATTTTTGACCTTTATGATTCATATTTATTGTGTTTATTCAATAGCCTCTGGGGCATTTACCTCAAAACTCAGGACTGGACTCTGTCTATAAATAAACAGATAAATCTAGCACTCGTTTCAAACTATTTAACATACTCCCTACTCAGAAAGAAGCTGATTGTCTTAGAAGCACTAAACCTTGATTCAAGCCCACCCCAAAGCCAAAATTATTTGTATCACTACTAAACATCCTCTCCACCCTCGCTGGACAAGCAATAACAGTTTTTGTACCCCAAGTCCTTCTGAACCAATGGGGATCTGAACTTATTAGCACATAAATGATATACCAAGAACGGTAACAATGCTTCTCAGCACAGACTTTCCTATTTGCAGAGATTAAAAAAATAGTACATCTCAGGATTTAGTGCAGGGGTCTTCAAAATTGGCCCTTATGTGACTTGTGGACTTCAACTCCCAGAATTCCTCAGCCAGACACGCTGGCTGAGCAATTCTGGGAGTTGAAGTCCACAAGTCATAAAAGGGGCAAGTTTGAAGACCCCTGTAGTAGGAGGTGGGAAAAATATGAAAGCACAATGACATCTTGGATGCTGGAGAGAAAGGATACTCCTAGGAGTATGAGGACAGGACAAGGGGGAGGTGCCTCCAATGGGAAACCATCCTGCCCCACAATTCCATAAGAAGTGTGATTCTTATGGAGTAGGAGCTCAGCCAACGAAACCCCATAGCATAACAAAGGGGATGATACGTTCTTGTCCTACACAAATGATCTGTACCTCCACTTCTTTTGACTTAGATGGGTGTTAAATCCCATCGAGCTTGACGATAATCCCTTCTGCCTCTATATGTTGCAAAGCTATAATCTTAACAGAATAAAGGGACCTTGGAGGTCTTCTAGTCCAACTCCCTGGTCAAGCAGGAGACTCTATACCAGGGGGTGTCAAACTCAATTTCATTGAGGGCCGCATCAGCATTGCGGTTGCCCTCAGGGGGCCGGGTGGGTGTGGCCAGGGTGGGTGCGGCCTACTGGATGGGCGTGAATGGAGTGGGTGTGGTCTACTGGGTGGGTGTGGCCAGCTTTGCACTGTTCCCGTCAAGAGTACCTGTGGGGGCCTGGGCAGGAGTGGGATAGATCTGAGGGTCTGGCAGAAGGGCAAGTGCCAAGGCATGGTCCACTGGAGGAGCCTCACTGTTCCTCTCAGGCCATGCCGGGAGGGGGGCTTATGGAGCTAAGACTGAATGTGTTTCAGCATAGATGGCCATCACAAAATTGTACACTGGCTCCCAGCCAGCTTGGGCCAGGGCCAAGCCAGCGGGGGCCGTTCCCTCACTGTTTCCAGGATAGCTTCGCGGGCCACATGAAACCACTTTGCAGGCCACATCCAGCCCCCGGGCCTTGTGTTTGACATGTCTGCTTTATACCATTTCAGACAAACGCTGGCTGAGGAATTCGGGGAGTTGAAGTCCACAAGTCATAAAAGGGCCAAGTTTGAAGACCCCTGATTTAGTGGGACTGTATTGTTGCACTAAATATAAATAATATAAATATAATTAATAATAAACAACAGTTTGTTCTCCAGTGAGGAGACACTAACATGTGCACAGCCTACTCCAACTAAGACAACAACAGTATTTCTTGATTGTGTATGTTAGTAGGTACTGTATGTCTGAGTCTACTTTAGACATCTATATGGAAACATATTTGCATAATTCTCTTTACATGTTTCTCTCTGTAAAATCCAAGCTCTAACCATGTGGTGGTTAAATATCATACAACTTCCATATTTAGAATTAAAGCTTGCACAGTAATGATGTATGTCACCCAGTACTGTACAATTATCAACCTATCTGAAATTTACAGTGTCACTTTCTGTACATTCTGTTTTATATTGAAGAAGTATGGCCAATATAAGCTAACATCTGATTGCCTTACAGCAGGGGCCTTCAAACTTGGCAACTTTTAAGACTTGTGGACTTCAATTCTCAGAATTCCTCAGCCAGCCCAGGATTCTAGGTCAAGTAAGGACCTGAGAGAAAGAACAAAGGATCTGAGTTTGAACAATTAATTTATTTTGGGATTGCCTAAAGGATCCATCATGAAGATCTGCAAAAACCAACCTGAAATTGCTCTGAAATATGGAAAAAAAAATCAAAAAAGTAAAACCTTGCCGGTCCAGATTTTCTGGGGGAGGGAAATGAATCAGAAGCATATTTGTTAAGCTAAAGATTTCCATTGTGCAAACAAATATCGGATAGGAAGGTTGAGAGCAGTCAAGGTTTTTCTCTCCCTTTCCTGGAGAGAAGAGAAGGAGATTAATTTTACTTAGGTTTTTAAAATAAATTTAAAAACTCCACTCTCCCTCCCACACATTCAGCACACACCGGCAGAAGGAAGTAAATCACTCTGTAGGGCAACACTTTCTTTTGTGGTGGAAAAATCAGTATTCATTTAAATCTTCAGGTAACATATTTCAGAACCTCATCTGAACTACATTAAGCCATGAACCTATTCTCAGTGCTGTGATTCAGTTCTAAGGCACATGAACTATTAAGAGAAGACTTGTAGGAGAAACAATGGCCAAGTCAGGGGGAGGAGTCAAACAGGGACTTAGTCTAGAATCCCTACATGGGGACAAGAAGGCAAAGTTCAACCCCCTTTGAATGCCACTGATCCTTATCTAGTCTCACTCAAGTCTGAGACTTTATTGCTTGGGCAATAAAGCAGTTAATTGAACTCTTCAATTGTGGGTCTGGTTGTTTGCACCTGACAAGATATTAAAGGGATCAAGTATAAAAACCATACCACGGGCTATCAAGGATCATGTCTAGTTTAAAGAAGAGAAGGATGAGGGGGGACATAATAGTAGTGTTCCAATATCTCAAGGGCTGCCACAAAAAAGAGGGAGTCAAGCTATTCTCCAAAACGCCTGAAGGTAGGACAAGAAGCAATGGGTGGAAACTCATCAAGGAGAGAAGCAATCTAGAACTAAGGAGAAACTTCCTGACAGTGAGAACAATTAACCAGTGGAACAACCTTCCTTCAGAAGCGGTGAATGCTCCAACACTGGAAGTTTTTAAGACGAGATTGGACAGCCATTTGTCTGAAATGGTATAGGGCTTCCTGCCTGAGCAGGGGGCTGGACTAGATGACCTCCAAGATCCCTTCCAACTTTATTATTATTATTTACAGGTTGTCCTTGATTTATGATTGCATACGAGCCCAGAATTACCAGCCCAGAATTACCATCGTAAGATGTTGCAGTTGTAAATCAAGGTATCATGTCATTAGACCTGAGGGTTTGTTTTTTTTGCAACATTTGTTAAGCAAAGGCTGCAGTAAACGCCACATTCACTAAATGAATCTGTTTTCCCCAACTTTACTATTATTATTATTATTATTATAAAGCTTCCAGAGGCTTAATATCTCTTTTTAGTCATTAAATACAGATGCTCCATTAAACACACTGATTAAACTATAAGTATTTGTCTAAGATGGATTAACTATCTAAGAGTTATGAAACAAAATCAATGATTTTTTTTCAAGGTTTTATCTGGCTGCTTTTGATGTTCCACTAGTTTTTAAGGCTTGTGGCCCTAAATTAGCAAATCATCATCCGTCTTTATGCATATATACATGCTTAATTTACAAAATAAAATACTAGATTATGCCCGTATATAACATAAACCTGTCAGTGTTTGCAAAATGATACTAGTAGCACTGATACTGTCTAGCAACTTTGATTGATTGATTGATTGGATTGATTGAACTTATTCTTTGTCACATCTCATGACTCGTGGTGGGTCGCAACAAATATAACATACTGGATTGAAACATCCGTGATACACATACAAAAATTAAGATAATCCATTAAAATCAAAGCAGACAATGATATAACTACAGTTAACTACACGGTTAACATGGAAATGGAACGGTGCCATGTCCTGCCAAGCCATGGATGTCACTTGGTCTTCGGGGTAAAAGCTGAGCCGAGGTGGCGCAGCAGTTAGAGTGCAGTACTGCAGGCCACTTTAGCTGACTGTGTTCAGCAGGTCAGCGGTTCAAATCTCACCGGCTCAAGGTTGACTCACCCTTCCATCCTTCCGGGGTAGGTAAAATGAGGACCCAGATTGTTGGGGGCAATGTAAATATATATATACATTGCTTACTGGTGCACACCGCTTAGAGAGTGTTTGCACTTAAAGCGGTATATAAGTCTCATAAATAAGTAAGTAAATAAATAAATAAATAAATAAATAAAAGCCACATGTCCAGGAAGACCCTCAAATTGCTTGCTGTCTGAGGCCGGGCGTCCCACAGTTATTTACAACAAAGCTCTTTCCTGCAATGCTATACAGCTGTTTCTGTGGTAAACTACTACTGCTTATGTGTTGGAAGCACCTACCACGGCACTTCCAGGTTGAAAGGCTTAGCCGGCGACCTCACCGTTGCTCAGGCCTTTTGCGTCCCTGTTATTTTTCCACACCGAGGTGGTACCTATTTGTCTATTCGCATTGGCGTGCTTTCGAACGGGTTGGCTGGCAGGAGCTGGGACAAACTGAGATGAGCTCTTTCTGTCACGCGGCTCGGACTCTCGGGTTTCGAACTGCCAAGCAGTCAACCCGTTCGGTGATCTTCTGAGTCAGAAGATCCTAGCCACGTGAGCCACTGCAGCCCCTTGCGGCGTGCGATGAGGCTTCGAAGAAAGCTGTGTTTGCCCAATTCCGTCCTGTTGAGCCCGTTGGCTTCTTCAGAAGCGTGACCCACCTGCATGTTTTCTGTGGCATCTCCCAGCAGGCCTCCGAAAGTGATGGCGTTGGTTACCGTTGCCAGGTAGATGAAGAGAATGGCAGACAGGGCTTGGATGTTGAAGGCATCGTAGAAATCGCTGGCAAAGAAAGGAGCTTTCCTCTTGATGTCTTTGATTAAACCCCCAAAAAATCTAAGAAGAAGAAGAAGAGAAAGTGTCACAATGACATTAGTCCACATAGCGAAGGAGAGTTTGAAAACAGCACCCCAAAACACAATTTTAAGGGCTATTGTAATAGCTTCCCCCAAGAAGGATGCGAGTTAAAACTATCTGAAGGGGAACTTCCTGACATTTCAGTGAAACCACCTGCCTCCAGAAGCGGTGAATGCTCCAAACACTGGAAGTTTTTAAGAGACTGGACAGCCATTTGTCTGAAATGGTACAGGGTTTCCTGCCTGAGCAGGGGGCTGGACTAGATGACCTCCAAGGTTCCTTCCAACTTTATTATTATTATTATTATTTACAGGTTGTCCTTTATTTATGATTGCATACGAGCCCAGAATTACCATCGTAAGATGTTGCAGTTGTAAATCAAAGTATCATGTCATTAGACCTGAGGGTTTTTTTGTTTTTGTTTTTTTGCAACATTTGTTAAGCAAAGGCTACAGTAAAATGAATCTGTTTTCCCTAATGGGAGTTTTTTGTTTTTTTGTTTTTTGTTTTTTTTTTGCTGGAAACTGGAAGTAAATGCTGCAAACCAGCAAAAGGTGTCACAAATCAGGGTCACGTGATTACAGGATGCTGCAAATGGACGTAAAAGTGAGCCAGTTGCCAAACGCTCCAAATGCAATCACACGATTGGCAGTGTTTGTATGCAGTTGTTGTAAGCTCCAAAAACAGATGGTAAGTAGTTCTAGGGAGATATATTGTAACTTCAGGTGGGTTGTTAAGCAGCTGGTTGTAAAGTTAAGATAAGTTACAGATTACGGAAACCAATCAAGGAGAGAAGCAACCTAGAACTAAGAAGAAATTTCCTGACAGTTAGAACAATTAACCAGTGGAAAAACTTGTGGATGCTTCAATACTGGAGGTTTGTAAGAAGAGATTGGACATCTATTTGTCTGAAATGGTATAGGGTTTCTTGCCTGAACAGGGCGGGTTGGACTAGATCAGTGGTTCTCAAACTTTTTAATGCCACGACCCCCAACCAGTCGTAAGTCGAGGACTACTCAACCGGTCGTAAGTCGAGGACTACTCAACGGGTGCAGCACCGTTTGCAGAATGGGACTTTTGGTGGGCTCAGCAGGGAAGAGACAGCCTGGACCATTCCTATTGGCTTCTGAAAGCCAATAGAATTAGACTCTATTCAAGAGAGTCTATTCTATTGGCTTTCAAAAGCCAATAGAATAAAAGGGCTAAGGAAAAGGGGGAAAAAATGGCGGACTGCGTTGTTTGGCGACCCCCGTGAAATGGTCGTTCGACCCCAAATGGGGTCCCGACCCACAGGTTGAGAACCACTGGACTAGATGACCTCCAAGGCCCCTTCCAATTATTCTATTTCTAAGGACTACCTATATAACACACTAGCAAAGTATCCCATATGAAGATATGAACTTTTGTTTCTTACCTGCCAGTTCGCTGCAATTCTTCACAGTCCCCGTGTCCCCCTCCTCCATTTTCTCCCTCATGAGGGGTGTCTCCATTCATCTGGATATTCTCACCGCCTGCGTACAAGATTTTCCTGGGCAGACAGAATGAGAGTACAGTTGAATATGCGCACTTGATGCAAACATCCTACAGATACACATACCCAGAAACCCAAATACCACAGGCATGTGTCCTTAACCTTTTGTAATCTTCAGAAATTACGTTTGGTCTTAATAATATGAACTACTCTGTCCTCTGCAGAACACTGATGCATTTTAGGCCTGTTTTGAAAAACAATTTGGTTAGGTTTAGCCCTCCCTGGCTTTTCATTTCCCTAACATTTGTCTTTTGATGGATGGTTTGTGAAATAATAAAAATAGTATCTGTCTGTCTGTCTGTCTGTCTGTCTGTCTGTCTATCTATCTATCTATCTAATCTATCTAATCCAGTGGTTCTCAACCTTTTTAATGCTGCGACCCCCAACCAGTCGTAAGTCAAGGACTACTCAACTGGTCGTAAGTTGAGGACTACTCAACTGGTGCAGCACCGTTGGCAGAATGGGACTTTTGGCAGGCTCAGCAGGGCAGAGACAGCCTGGACAATTCCTATTGGCTTTTGAAAGCCAATAGAATTAGACTCTATTCAAGAGAGTCTATTCTATTGGCTTTCAAAAGCCCATAGAATAAAAGGGAGTAGCACAGCTAAGGAAAAGGGGAAAAAATGGCGGACTGCATTGTTTGGCGACCCCCGTGAAATGGTCGTTCGACCCCAAATGGGCTCCCGACCCACAGGTTGGGAACCAGTGATCTAATCTATCTATCTATTTCTATTATCTATCTCTATTATCTATCTATTTATCTATCTAATCCAGGGGTGTCAAACTCAATTTCACTGAGGGCCGCATCAGCATTGCAGTTGCTCGGGGTGGGGCAGCGGGGGTGTAGCCAGAGTGGATGCAGCCTACTGGATGGGCGTGGATGGAGTGGGTGTGGCCTACTAGGTGGGCGTGCCCAGTTCTACATCATTCGCGTCAAGGGTGCCTGTGGGGGCCTGGGCAGAGACAGATCTGAGGGTCTCTGGCAGAAGGGGGTGGGACCGGGGCAAGTGCCAAGGCATGGTCCACCGGGGCAAGTGCCAAGATGGCCACCACAAAATTGTACATTGGCTCCCGGCTGGCCTGGGCCAGGGCCAAGGCAGCGGGGGCCGTTCCCTCACTGTTTCAAGGATGGCTTCGTGGGTCACATGAAACCGCTTTGCGGGCCGCATCCGGCCCCTGGGCCTTGTGTTTGACATGTCTGATCTAATCTATCTATCTATCTCTATCTATCTATCTATCTGTCTGTCTGTCTGTCTATCTCTATCTATCTATCTATCTATCTATCTATCTATCTATCTATCTATCTATCCTATCTATCTATCTTCCATCTATCTATCTATCCATCCATCCATCCACCCACCCACCCATGCACCCATCCATCCATCCCTCCCTCCCTCCCTCCCACAGGATGGAATGCAATTACCTTTTGTCAGAAGATGGAAGAGATTTGGGGGGCTCTATCCTTATGGCGGGATCCCACTCTCCAGGAGGAAGCACAATTACTTCATCCAGAAATTCATCAATCCCAGCGATCAGGTCCTGCCTGTCTTTGGCTTTGTAGGCTATGTCATGAAATACCTATAAAGGGATGAATGAAGAAGAGATCAGATGCAAAAAAAAAAAAAATGCCATCTAGATATTTCTGCAGAGATATATGCAACTATACATCATAACACCCATCTATCTGTCCAGATAAGCCTTTACTATCGATAAAAGAGTTATTTGTAATTCAAGGTTAAAATGAGGGGTCCTTGGTGCTTTCTGAGCAGAGGTTTCATAAAGCCAAGCTAGGAAACATCATCACTGCTAATAAGGAGCAGGGTTTGTTCTCAATTAAATTCCTGACAGGGCAAGATACTACAAGAGTGGTGGCGAACCTATGGCACGGGTGCCAGAGGCGGCACTCAGAGCCCTCTCTGTGGGCACGCACGCCGTCGCCCCAGTCCTAGGCCTTCAGCGGAGTTTTATAAAACCTTTTCGCTTTAGGCCTCCGCTGCCGTGTGCAAAAAAAAATAAAAATCAATCAATCAATTTCAACTTCTCGCGGGGAAAAAAAGATCTTGCAAAGTTGGAATTGATTGATTGAACTTTTTAGTCCCACCCAGTCTGCTGTTACAACCGCAGCCACGCCCACCCAATGAGCCACACCCACCCAATGGGCCATACCCACTCGGCACCCAACGATGCATAAGTGGGTTTGGGGTTGCAGTTTGGGCACTCGGTCTCTAAAAGGTTCGCCATCACTGGACTAGAATATAAATTGAGAACAAACCCCAGTACTAGCACTGACGATGTTACTTAGTTTGGATAATGAAATGTCTGCAAGAAAACAACCAAGCTCAGAGAGCACCAAGTCCTCCTCCTTCTCCTCCTCTCCACAAACACCACTCCCTTCTAGCACTGATAGTGTTACCTCGTTTGGTAATGAAACATCTCACATCAAGGATCCCTCAAGGCTTCACTGCCTACTCTGGCCAACGGCCTTCCAATTTTAGAGAAATGGAGATTTCCTATCACTTGCTCTATGACCTGTTGAACTCAACCTGGGTTTCCTACTGTCTCTAAGGCCAGACCCAACCCACCACATCTCTTTCATTGTCCCAAGGAACTCCCTTCAACTACACCACCCAATTCCCTATGTGCAGATGTGTGTTTTGTATGCATGTGTTCCGGAGGAGGGGAGCCACCCCTGAGAAAGTATCAAGGAAGGAAATTTGCCTGCAGTTATTTTCCCACCGGCGATCAAATTCAAACTTCAAGGAAGAGCTCTCTGATGAAATTCCCACGAGCCAAAGCTAATGTCGTAACTTCGAAAGCGATGTTGTTCACCGAGCTGGGAGTGAGTCAACAGCTTGGCAGGTGTGAATATGCCTCCTTTCCTGGTATGATCGTCTTTCCAACCATTGCCCACATTTCAAATAAATCCCAAGCCAAGACCTCAAGAACTGGGTGAGATCAGTACAAAGACTATACGCTCCATGGGAGGCAACCCTTAAAATTTTCCAGAAGCACTAATAGATTAGCACAGTCTGGTCTCAAGGAGACCATTTCAGCACCAAGGCTGATTACCTCATCCGACATCAACGTGGCAATGGCTCGGCCGATTTCGTGGTAGGATTTTGCTTTGCCTTTTGGACCCAGCAAAATGAACAGGAACCTGGACCCCCCAGGAAGAAAAGCAGTGTTGTTATCATGTGCAAATCCACAGGCAATTTTTTTTTTATTAAGAACGTTTACTTAAGTAAAACGCAAATACGAAGAGAAAAAAAATATGAAAAGAGGGAATGGTTAGATCAGAGGAGGCTTGGTTGCAGTTGCAGGCATTGGGTATGTCTAATAGTTTAACGAAAAGAAGGACTAGGGGTGACCTAATAGCAGTCTTCCAATATTTGAGGGGTTATCACAAAAAAGAAGGGGTTCAACCTATTCTTGTCTCCTGAAAGCAAGACAAGAAACAATAGATGGAAACTAATCAAGGAGAGAAGCAACCTAGAACTAAGGAGAAATTTCCTGACAGGTAGAACAATTAATCAGTGGAACAGCTTGCCTCCAGAAGTGGTGGGTGCTCCATCAATGGAAATTTTTAAGAAGAGACTGGACAGCCATTTGTCCAGAATGTTATAGGGCAGGGATAGGCAACCTTGGCTCTTTTATGACTCGTGGACTTCAACTCCCAGAATTCCTGATCCAGCATGGGGAACTATGGCCCCTTTATGACTCGTGGACTTCAACTCCCAGAATTCCTGAGCCAGCATGGCTCAGCTTGGAAACCTGTCCCTTTCCCCTCAGCACGGCTAGCTCAGGAATTCTGGGAGTTGAGGCTTGGAAGGGACTGTCCTTAACTTCTCCGGGTGTAAAGAAGACAGTGGGAGACTTGGACTTTCAGACGTGCAAGATTCTGCTAATACAATCTTGCAATGAATAGAATTATCTCATCTGGCTCTGTTTCCTGCCTGGTTCACCTGTGGCAGTTTGGTGAGGGGAAATAATTTCAAAGAGAGGCAATAGTCTCCCAGTTCCTTTGCAGGAGTGAGGAACACTTACAAATTAGCCCATATGACCATCCAAGACAGAATAACAAGAGTTGGAAGGGACCTTGGAGATATTCTAGTCCAAACCCCTGTTCAAACAGGAGACCCCTATACCAGGGGTAGGCAATCTTGGCTCTTTTATGACTTGTAGACTTCAACTCCCAGAATTCCTGAGCCAGCCATGCTGAGGGGAAAGGGAGAGGTTTCCAAGCTGACCCATGCTGGCTCAGGAATTCTGGGAGTTGAAGTCCACGAGTCATAAAGCGGCCTAGGCCTAGGCCAGAGGTAGGTAACCTTGGCTCTTTTATGACTTGTGGACTTCAACTCCCAGAATTCCTGAGCCAGCCATGCTGAGGGGAAAGGGAGAGGTTTCCAAGCTGAGCCAGACTGGCTCAGGAATTCTGGGAGTTGAAGTCCACGAGTCATAAAAGAGCCAAGGTTGCCTATCCCTGCCCTATACCATTCTGGACAAATGGCTTTTCAGTCTCTTCTTAAAAATCTCCATTGATGGAGCACCCACCGCTTCTGGAGGCAAGCTGTTCCACTGATTAATTGTTCTACCTGTCAGGAAATTTCTCCTTAGTTCTAGGTTGCTTCTCTCCTTGATTAGTTTCCATCTATTGTTTCTTGTCTTGCTTTCAGGAGACAAGAATAGGTGAACCCCTTCTTTTTTGTGGTAACCCCTCAAATATTGGAAGACTGCTATCAGGTCACCCCTAGTCCTTCTTTTCGTTAAACTACTAGACATACTCAATGCCTGCAACTGTTTTTCATACCTTTTAGCCTCTACTCAGACATTCCAGTTTTTGTGCAGCTGTCACATAAAAACATTCATTCAATCTCCCCAGGTAGGCATATCATAATAAATCATGCAATAGGATTATGCCCATAAGCTTTGCAAAGGAGAGCTCTTTACATTCAAATTAAGGAATTCCTGCCCAAAGAAAAAAGTCCTCTTATCTTCCTTCTCATTTTGTTGCAACAACAAATTTCAGCTGACATTTGGGGGTCACTACTATGCAGATACATGCCATTTGCTTGTGGACGCAATTCTCCGAGAAATAAAAGCTTTCTCTGCGGTACCTTGCAGTCACCAACAGCATAAATTATTTATTTTCAGTCAGCTAATTAGAACTGCCATATAAATAAATAAAGAGGTTCTGAAGAGGGCAAGAGGCTAGATGGCAGCAAAATAAATGCCTTTTTTTAAAAAAAAAAAAAAATGAGAGCAAACAGCAAACTCAACATGAGGGAAATTAACACTTCTACAGGCGCTGCATTAAAAGCAACATTAATCTTCCCAGAACAGACATCCACATGTTAGTTGAGGCCATGCAGGCTGACACATCCACGGAGGGTTTTTGGAAAACTTCTAAGTGACCGTTCAACAGCAATGATAAAAAAGAAGTTTTCCAGAAACTCTCTGTGGAAAATAACATATTTGTGTGACATGGATTATTAAAGCAATAGCAATAGCACTTAAGACTTATATACTGCTTCGTAGTGCTTTTACAGCCCTCTCTAAGGGGTTTAACAGAGTCAGGATATTGCTCCCAGCAATCTGGGTCCTCATTTTACCGACCTCGGAACGATGGAAGGCTGAATCAACCTTGAGCCAGTCAGGATCAAACTCCAGGCTGTGGGCAGAGTCCACCTGCAATACTGCATTCTAACCACTGCGCCACCACAGCTCATATTAAAGCAATCATTAGGATTGCAGGTTCATTTTTAAATTTTAAATTTAATTTTTTTTTTAAACAGAACAACAGATAGAAAACATTCATTTACCGAGTTGGTACGGGGACTTCGGTCAGAGCACCAAGCATGACTGCTTGCTGTAACCGCACGAAGGCAATAAAAGGGTTTTCCAAGAAGTCAACTTCTCCAACCAAAACATTGGAGGCCTCAGCATCTCGTGGTAACTTCTTCATGAATTTGTTCTTCAGCTGAGGAGAAAAAGAAGAAGTTTTACTACACTCGATCTTAGCCAAAAGGCCGAGAAGCAGAAGTTTTAAAGGACTAAAGGACTCCTGTAGAATTTCTTTCGCATCAAATCAGAAAGAAATTTGTAGATGGTGTGGTTACCCTCAGTGGTGGGATTCAAATATGTGAACAACCGGTTCTTTGTGTGGATGCCGCTTCTGGAAGTCTGTTCTAGGCCGCGGAGGCATGGAGAGGGCCTCCCAGGCCTAGAATGGTCCACCGGAAGTGCATGGATGCCACTTCCGGAAGTCCATTCTATGTCTCGGAGGCATAGAGAGGGCCTCCCAGGCCTAGAATGGCCCACCGGAAGTGCGTGGATACCACTTCCAGAAGTCCGTTCTAGGCCTTGGAGGCCCAGGCCAGCATCAAATAAGAGAACCGGTTGTTCAGATCTTTGAATTCCACCACTGCTCAGGACACTGCGACCGTCATAAATATGAGGCAGTTACCAAGTGTCCAAATTTTGATTATGTGGCCACAGGCAGTGGTGGGATTCAAATATGTGAACAACCGGTTCTCTGTGTGGATGCTGCTTCCGGAAGTACATTCTGGGCCCGGGCAACAAAAAATTAGCTACCGGTTCTGCCGAAGTGGTGCGAACCGGCTGAATCCCACCACTGGTTACCCTTCTCATAATACTGAAAAATAATTTTCACTGTCCTGAGAACAAAAATTACCATACTTAGTGAGTCTGCTGACCAAACATTTTGTTAGGTATCTAATGCTCATGTTCCAAAAAATGGGAGAGAGATTGGAACAATTTCTATGACTATCTAATAAGAATTCCATCCTTCACACTAGGATGTGTTTGTAATGCATGAAACCTAACCTAAAAACTGTATGACCAGAAATTTCATAGGTAGAAAAATAAAAGAATATAACTAACACGTACTGTATTTGTGTAATGTTAATGAAGGGAAGAGGGGGAAAAGCAAAGAACAGGGGACAAGAAGCCAAAAAGCTTATGGTTACAATAGACAACCTTTTGCTGCATAGATTAACAATCCGCAAGGCCTAATTCCTGGCCAGTTCAGAGAACCACCCATTATAGTAGCTGAAAAATTGGTTCCACCACTACATGATTCCTGATACAGTGGCACCTCGGCACTCAACTGCTCTGAAGATCGCCAAATTTGAAACTCGATGCATTTTGAGGTGAAAATTGTGTCCTGGTATTATTGTTTGTTTGGTATCAGTGGAACAGCTTGCCACCAGAAATCGTGGAAGCTCCATCATTGGACATTTTTAAGAAGAGACTGGACAATCACCGGTCTGAGATGGTATAGGACAGGAGTAGGCAACCTCGGCTCTTTTATGACTCGTGGACTTCAATTCCCAGAATTCCTGAGCCAGCCATGCTGAGGGGAAAGGGAGAGTTTCCAAGCTGAGCCATGCTGGCTCAGGAATTCTGGGAGTTGAAATCCACAAGTCTTAAACGTTGCCAAGGTTGGAGACCCCTGCTTTACTGAGTGCCAAAGAGGCAGACCAAAGAAGGAACACAGTCTCTCACATCTGCTTGCATATTTCCCACACGAACTGCAGGCAACAATCACACCAATTGTCAATCTTGAGGGCCATCTGGAAGAGCCAAGTGAAATATAACTCTACTATATTATTGATGGAAACTGCATAATAAATTATCTGGCCTAATGTGGTAAATTGAATGCAAAGGTTTATACAGTAGAGGATGGGGGGCAAACTAGAGATTCCACTTACTTTATTGAAAAATAAGTACAGATGAGAGATAATATAGCTGTAATTATTCATCCTGTCTCCACCAGGTCAATACTCATGCAGGGAATTGCCTATTATAATATTATAATGAAAGAGTCATAATCTTCTGTTATAATTTCATTATAATGAAAGATTAGGGGGCTAGAGGCTAACACATATGAAGAACGGTTGCACGAATTGGGTATGTCTAATCTAGTGAAAAGAAGGACTAGGGAAGATATGACAGTAGTGTTCCAACATCAAATGGGCTGCCACAAAGAAGATGGGGTCAACCTCTTCTTCAAAGTGCCCAAAGGCAGGACAAGAAGCAACGGATGGAAATTAATCAAGGAGAGAATCAACCTAGAACTCAGGAGGAATTTCCTAATAATGATAACAATTAACCAGTGGAACGGCTTGCCTTCAGAAGCTGTGGGTGCTCCAACACTGGAGGCTTTTAAGAAGAGACTGGACAACCATTTGTTTGAAATGGTGTAGGGCAATGGTGGTGAACCTATGCTAGAAGCGGCACTCAGAGCCCTCTCTGTGGGCATGCGTGCCGTCGCCCCAGTCCTAGGCCTTCAGCTGGGTTTTATAAAATCTTTTTGCTTTAGGTCTCCGCTGCCGTGTACAAAAAAAAAAGGTTCAATCAATCAGTCAATTTCAACTTCTCGCGGGAAAAAAAAAGATCTTGCAAAGTTGGAATTGATTGATTGAACTTTTTAGTCCCACCCAGTCTGCCTTTACCACCACAACCACGCCCACCCAATGGGCCACACCCACCCAATGGGCCACATCCACTCGGCACCCGACGATGCATAAGTGGGTTTGGGGTTGCAGTTTGGGCACTCAGTCACTTAAAGGTTCGCCATCACTGGCATACGGTCTCCTGCCTGAGTAGGGGGTTGGACTAGATGACCTCCAAGATCCCTTCCAACTCTGTTATTCTGAGTCAGATATTTGAGGATATTGTTTGCCCAAATTTCTCATATCATGCCCTTCCCCTCCCCCAAATAATGAATTCACGCCATATTACATGCCTCCAAAATAATAAAGCAACTAATATTTGACATGTCCAGCAAGAATCAAAACGCTGACTCCTTTGGGAAGAAACAGGAATTCTGAAATTTCACTTTGCAAATGGATTACAGATTACAGTCCTCACCTTACAATAGTTACTTATTGACCGTCTGAAGCTACAGCAGCACTGAAAAAAGTGACTTATGACCGTTCTTCACACTTGTGACCATTGCAGGATTCCCCACAATCACATGATCAAAATTCAAAAGCTTGGCCATCGGCACGCAGTGTCCCGGGGTCACGTGAACACCTCCAGTGACCTTCTGACAAGCAAAGTCAATGGGTAACCGTGTTACTAAGTGATTCGCTTAACAACTGTTGCAAGAAAGGTTAAAAAGGGGGGGCAAATTTCACTAAACAGCTGTCTCACTTAACAACGTAAATTTGGGGCTCGGTGGCGGTCATAGGTTGAGGACTTCCTGTATTAGAATTGTACCCCGCCCATCTCTCCTAAAACAATATACGTTACTGTCAAAGTTGTAGAGCTCAAGGCTGCAATGGACAGCCCCCCCCCCTCATGATTCTGGTCCTGCCTGTGGTCGTAAGTGGAGGACTTCGTGAACCGAAGTCTCCTCACAAAGCACCGTAGGGACAAGTGAAACCTTCTGCCTTGCAAGTTTCTCCTACAGGTGGTCCTCGACTTACATCAGTTTGCTTAGTGACCATTCAAAGTTACAACCGCACCGAAAAAAGTGACAGGACCATGTTTCACACTTACGACCGTTGCAGCACCACCCCCCATGGTCACGGGATTTACATTCGGATGCTCGACAACCGGTTCATATTTATGACGGTTGCCGTGGTGTCCCGGGGTCATGTGATCCCCTTTTGCAGCCTTCTGACGAACAAAGACGATGGGGAAGACGGATTGACTTCGCCACTAATTGAACAACTTTGGTGATTCACTTAGCCAATGTGGCAAGAAAAAGTCGTAAAATGGGGCAAAACTAACTTTACAAATTTCTTTTTTTTTTGTATAGATTTTATTAGTTTTTATAGGGTTAGGGCAGACATGTCAAACACAAGGCTTGGGGGCTGGATGCGGCCTGCAAAGTGGTTTCATGTGGCCCGCGAAGCCATCCTGGAAACAGTGAGGGAACGGCCCCCGCTGCCTTGGCCCTGGCCCAGGCTGGCCGGGAGCCAATGTATAATTTTGTGGTGGCCATCTTGGCATTTGCCCCGGTGGACCATGCCTTGGCGCTTGCCCCGGTCCCACCCCCTTCTGCCAGAGACCCTCAGATCTGTCCCACTCCTGCCCAAGCCCCCACAGGCACCCTTGACACGAACGATGTAGAGCTGGCCACGCCCACCCAATAGGCCACACCCACCCAGTAGGCTGCACCCACTCTGGCCACACCCACCCAGCCCCCCCAGGGCAACCGCAATGCTGATGTGTCCCTCAGTGAAATTGAGTTTGACACCCCGGGGTTAGGGATAAGGTGGGATCAGGATTTGGGTTAGGGTTAGGGTTGGGGTTGGGGTTTTTCCAAATAATATTTTCAATATTTAGCAAGCAGCATAATGTCTGGCTGCATGTCAATAATAGATATAGTTAATTATCATAAAGAATATGTTAATTCATCACTCAATAGCCCTCTTCTTGCTAATATATATTCAGAATTACATAGCACGTTCCTTTCTCTCGTTTTTCTAGGCATGGATAAAAATGATCCCATGTTCTAACTTTACAAATGTCTCACTTAATACACAAAGGTGGGGCTCAATTGTAGTTGTAACCCTAGATTACCAACTTCCTTTCAGACGGGAGTTAGACATACGCTGTTTTGCAGAAGGTGTGCCTCCTTACTTCATAATTGGAGGTTAATTCAGGACATGAGAGCAAACACGGGCACTAACCCTGATTGCCAGGGAATAAAAGGTTAGACAATTGCCAGCCCCGATATACAAAAGAAAGTGAATGCCGAGTAAATTCTTACACAACTCGCCCGAGGAATAGGCTTCCCATAGCAGGAAGTGCCTTCTATGTTTTTTTTTAGGCGAAGCGAGAGCTATTCTTCAACCAAGACAACCTCTTTATAAACTTTAGAATTAGCATGGGCAAAATGAGGAGGGGGGAAATGGTCTTTCCTGTTGATATGGAAACGCGGGAGTCAGGAAAGCGCCACAAACACAGAGACACAAGAGACTTCTGTCCACAACGTCAATTCAGTTGGCCGAGCCCATCAAAACAGACTCTGCATCTTAAGCAGGTGTTCTCCATCCCCAATAACAGAAAACCATGAATTTGGTCTTGGAAGACGGTCAACCCGAATACCAATTTTCATCTGTGACCTAAAATTGAATAAAAAGCAATTCCCCCATCCCCATCCCCTTGGCAGCCCCATCCCGTTCATTTCTACAACTTCAGAGATTTAAAATATAAGCTGTTGGGTGAGGTGGGGACAGGCCACTGAAATTCACTGGGGGGGGGGAAGGAGGGTTGTCAAGGACATTGAAACGAAGCCCAAAGAACTGAGAGCTTGGAGAACATTTCTGGAGGTGGGTGAGGGTCCAGCTTC